CTGTCACAGCCAAAAAATACACTCCAGACACGCCGCTGGCACTAGAGGCACAGCATGGCCGCCTAGTAACGGCCCCGACCACTGCCGCTCAACCTGACCAGAAAAAACCGTAGCAGGAAGCTAGCGAAGTCGTAGCATATATCGTCACAAACAGAACTGCCCGGTAAACCGTAGGCAGAGAGAGAGAAGAGGACAACAAACGAGGGGCTGTGACAAACTGTTTCGTCGGAGTTTCACCGACTCATCAGGAGGCTGAATATATATATATATATCGTCATATATATATATATCGTCATATATATATATATCGTCACAATATATATATATATCGTCACAATATATATATATATATAGTGTTCTCAGACTCGCTGAGAACTTGGAGAAGCCAAGCGCCTTTCCTCATCCCAAGGGGGGCTGCTGCCAGTACGCACTGCCTAAAACCCTAAACCCTGGATTCCCAACCACCTCCCTCCTCTTCTACGCCATACCAAGTCCGGTCCACCAAACTGAAGGGAGGACGGGGGGAACCGGTCTGGGAAGTCTGAGAGGGGCCACAATGGCACAGATGGAGCCAGTGGAGTCCAGTCGTTGAAGCGAAGGTGCTAGTCCCTGTTCATCTTCCCTTGGGTGCCCCCTTGTCCCCCATTCCATTTTGCTTTCCCAATCTTCCCCTCGTTCGTTCTGCCAAGCCAGCAGCTACTGAACTGTTGAATGATCTGTTGGGACTGGCGGGCACTGCTCTGCAAAACATGGCAGCAGGTAGACGGGCCGTCTTCTAGGCCCTCTGGTGGCACCACTGCACCCATGAAATGGAAGGAGTATGGCTTGACGTCCCTGACTTCCCCGAGACCATTCAAACAACAAATACAGACTGACATCACAACACAGAGGTAAAGAGGAAAAGCACAGCTTGCACATCTCACCTCCAATCACTGAAACCACAAATCTAATGGATTCTCTTTTCGTTTTTATCCTAGCTGAGGGCATGCTCACACTGGGATGGCGTAAGAAGATTCATCCAGGTCTGGCACAATTGCTGTAAAATGCAACTTGGGCCAGGCGTGCATGAATCTGACTGCAATCACGTCCAGAGCTCCAGTGCACCTGGGGACATCGTGTCTTCACAGGAGCCATCTCTCATGGGCTCCTGACAAGACTGAGGGGATGCTGTGTTCTACCTTTTCTCTTTCTTTCTTGCTTGATCACTTTTCTCATTTGGGAGTCGTGCTGCTAGGCCCTTCCCTTCTGTTCTTTTCTTTTTTGTTCTGTCTGTATCTGGTGCTCCAACTAGGCCACATACAGGGGCTGGCTTTGTGGAGAGTTGACCTGGGGTGGCAAATGAATGACAGCGGCGTCCTCCTTCTCGTTCCATCTGCTGGCAGTAGGTCCAGAACTCAATCCGCGAGAGGCTGGTACCAGTACCACCCTCAAATTTCCATGTGGTGTGGTCCCAGTCGCTTTCAGGCTCGGCAACAACGTAGATTTAGGCTCGTACATTTAGCATCCAGGGTATTGGTGGTTTCATGTTTTCAGAAAAATCCCGCATTTCACTCACCGTACTGGGGACATATATATATAACTATTATCAAGTATATATAAACCATATCCGGTTCTACCATGGCCAAAATTGATACCCACCTCCCCTCCCACCTCATCGATCACTGAGTGGACCGGATCCACCTGCGATTCCAGAGGGTGCCGCGTACCCTGGTCTTAGGGCTGTTGCCCGGAAGGCCAGGTGTGACCACATCAGATTACGTATGCGGTTGTGCTCCGAAGCATCCGCGAGGTGAGTCCCCTGGATGCATACCATGTCTGGCCAGTCCCTAACCCCTACTCCCTTCACGAGTTCCCAGACTGCTTGCTGCGTGTCGGCTCCTTCCGAGGTCAGACCTCTTTGTTTTTGTTTTTGTTTTTGTTTTTGTTTTTGTTTTAAACCACACTGCCAGGCTAGGAGGGGTGATATGAGCACCCCCTCCTAGCGGGGCGCCTGGTTGCGCCAATCTATTGGTGGGGAGCAGCAGAGGCCAGACCATACACTAAGGGAACGCAGGTCTAGGCCTGCTGCTCTTTTGCACTGTTTCCATACTCTGTCCTTACCATATACGGCGTTAACTGGATCCATCTATTTGTTATGTGTGTCACATTCCCCACCTTTGCTTGGTCTATCACAGGTGGGACCACGTTTTCTGGTCCCAGTCCCATTCTTTGGATCCTGACAGCAGCCCATTCCTGATAATAGTACGTTCTCCTCGTCCACCCCTGTCCCACTGCATGTGACCATTAGAGAGTCCGCAGGTAAAGTAGAGCATTGTGGGTGAACAGATTCAGCCCTGCCTCTTTCGCCGGATGAAACTGGACATAAACGTCCCCGGTCGCCATTCTGACCAAGCCCGTTGTACTGGTGAGAGTGGCCTGTGCCCCAGGTTCAAGGTATTTGGACAGAAATTGAGGCATTTGTGAGTGCAGTCTCAAGGCAGCCGCCAGGGAGTTCGAGTTTTCTCGCTGGGCCCAGAAGGAGTACCACCCGTTCAGTGTTACTCTCCCGGGCGTGTTGTGATCGGCTGCCGGCAGACCCACCTCCCGCCTGCCGTCTTTTTTTCTGATCGGTATCACGAGGAGTGCATCCATGGGTAGAGGTCCCATCCCCTGTCCCTGTTCAATCACACGTTGGAGTCTTCACCTCTTTACTAGGTCCAATGGGGCATCATTTTCCTGGTCGGTAGGGGGTGGGTCGAGCGGCTGAGGGTTGTGGAACCGCTTTTGTTTCCTTCCCCCAGTGTCGGCACAGTCATATCGACATGTTTTCGTCTGCTCGAGGGGGGGTTTCCAGAGGGGGCTGCATTTGCATCTCAACTTAGAGCACTGGCCATCCCCCCGTTTTCGTCTGCTTGAGGGGCAGTTTCCAGGGGTGCCTGAAACCGGGACTACACAATGACCATGAGCTTCTGCCACACCTCGGTCCATCTCACTCCTGCCTGCAGCCCCTGCTCCACTGCCCTTTTCAAGATATCCCGCGGTGAGAACACGTACGTCGAGTCCCAGAATCCCTCCGTCAATAGTCCATACCTCACTTTAAGCCAGTCCGCAACTGTAAACAGCTTCTTGTCCAGCACTTTGGACTCCAATCCCTCCGTCAATGGCCCATACCTCGCTAGTCTCCGACTGCGACCAGCTTCTTGTTCACCGACAAGTGCTGCAGTGGGATACCCTCCTCTGCCTCCGTTGTCTCTATTCCTCCAGGGGGAGGTTGTGCTCGAGAGGGATTCCACATCCACTGGTTCTGGCCGAAAGCGGTCACGGAATGTGTCTGCTGTCTCCAGCTGAATACCTATCTGGTCCGTCGTCTGGGCATTCCCCTCTGCAGAATCTCTGTGTGGCGCCGTGCAGCCATTCTGGGTGTTTTCTGTTTTCTGCATTACTTGGCCTGCCACTTGACCAGACTGGTTATTTTTGTCTGTATATTCGCTATGTTGTGTCATGTCGCTGTTCTGAGTGTTTATTTGTTTCTGCTGAAGTTGGCCTGCTGCTTGCCCAGTCTGGATCTGTCTGTCATTGTACGGGAGTTTCGTGTGCTGCTGGGTCCCTTCTCCTGTTTTTTGTAAGGTCTCTAGTGAGTCAGGCTTTTGCGTCCATTGTTCTTGTCCTTCGCCCTTGCGGATACCCCCAGTTTGGACCAGAACAGTATTCAGCTGAGTCTGCTGAGGCCAGGTATCAGAGTGCAGGGCGGGGTCTGAGCCGTGCTGGAGATATTGCTCAGCCGCCAGCCCCAGACTGCCCCAGATACCCCCGCTGTCTGCCCGCCCCTGCCCTGGCTCTTTCTGAACCCAGACCTCTCTTCCTCCCCTTACACCAGCAGTGTTCCTTGTCCCTGCACCCTGGACATTCCGGGCAGGGTTCTCGTGTGTCCTAGCCCCTTGCAGCTTGGTCTCGATCATCGTCGGGGAACCCACGTGTTGGGTGGTCGAGTATCCCATTCTGGCTCGCCCGCCTTTTCCCATGTCTACCCCACCGGAGTCCCGTTTTTCTTCGAGCTATCTTGAATATATACCCAACCCTCATGGCCTGGATCGACAGCTCTCCAGTGGGAAGTCTTGATGGGGTCTCTCGCCGGCCAACCTGTTAGCCCGTTTCTGTGGGTGGAGCCGGCAACAATATTCTGTGCTCAGGTAGCCTTAGGGTCGACACTTGTGGCACAAAGGCCTCATCTTATCCGCGGTGTGAATCATTTACTCTCAAGAACCCCACGCAGTAGAGAATGGCATCATCGACATCCAGGGCCAGTATGAGGTAATCATCCCTCTTGGCCACATATGAGGAGAGCGGATCTATGAAGTCGACGATCTCCTTTAGTTGCCCGAAGTCGTGGACGAAGGCCACTTGAATTTCCACCAGGATGTGGCTAAATTCTACACAGTAGACATCCTGCATCAGTTGTGCTATTTTTCGGTCCCGCAGCAAGTGTCGCTGTGGGGTCCATGGGTAGATTCAAGCCTCCAATCTGTGGCACCAAAGTCTCTTCCAGTGATCAATTATGTGACTGTCTGTATCATACATGCAAAGTATGGTGAACACTGTGTTCGGCACAACTGAATGAGAAAGGAGTACTGCGCCAGGTCAGCACTCCCCTTCAGGAGCCCCAGGCGTTGGCCAATCCACCGGATATTGTCACTGGTTGATTTGAAGGCCGCGTCATCGTGGAACACACAGTTGTTGGCATGTTTCTTATAGACTGTGTGCCTGCCCGCCAGTCTACTATTGGGGTACGCCTTGACCATCACCTGTTTGCCTCCTTGCGATACCACTTTCGTTTCTTTGATGGCAGGAGCAATCATGACATAAACAAGGCCCTGGCCGGGGGGATGCTTAAATCCCCTGTACGCGGGCCCCCTTGTCACATATCTATGAACTAAAAGAGCGCACTTTGCGAAATAAACGATAAAAATACATAAGACAAACATGAAGAAAGCACACTGAAACCATTCTTTTTATACATTCTTCTTTTATCTCCTTCCATTCTTCTAATTCCAACTACTTTTCTCATGTCTCAGTGAGCACCCCCAAGATGTGCCAAATAGTTGGTGCTAGTGTGTTTGGAGTGCCTGCAACACTATTAGGGAGGCTGCTTTGTTCGGGATGCCTGTGTGTGTGCACAGACGTTCTTCGAAGTGGCTCCCTGGCTGGTGTGAAAAAAAACAACAGTCGGCGGTGTTCTACTTGAGGTGTGAGTAGATGATGGGCTGCTTTGGTCTGTGTTGGTTGCGCGGACTGCTTTGTCTGCGTTGCCTCCCAGCCTTGTTGCCCATCCACGTGCCTAGCGGTAGCCTTTTCACATTGCCTCCCTGCCTTTTATCTTGCTGCCTTTTGCCTTGCTGCCTTTTCCCTCACTGCCTTCTTCCTCGCTGCCTTTTCCCTCACTGCCCTTTCCCTTGCTGCCTTTTTCCTTGCCCCCTTTAGTCTCTCACTGCCTTTTGCCTCGCCGCCTTTCGCCTTGCCGCCTTGCTGATTTGTCCCTCGCTGCCATGTTGCCTCACTACCTCCTTGCCTTCCTACTTGTTTGGCTGCTGTTGATTGGATCACACTGCTTGGCTTGTCGTTTGACTCGCTCCATTGCATCCTTGTGGCCTGCTGCTCATCATGCCACACTACTGCTTGCCTTGGTGTTTGCCTTCCCCCACCCACCTCACCCATGCCCTCCAGTCTATGTGCCTTGCTGCTGCTTGCCATCCAACGCTTCGATGCCCCGCCCTCGCCTTGCTGCTTGTGCTACTGCTTGTCCACTTACAACAGGGGTTAAAAGAGTTCATGAATCAGAGTATCAATATTGGGATTCCGCAGATTGTTGAGGGTTCAGCCTCCTGATGCGTCAGTGCAAGCCCGATAAAACAGTCTTTATTACTCGTTTAACCTTCCCTTTATCTTTTTTTTTGTTCCTTCGACTTCTTTGCCCCCCCCCCCAGTTTTGCACTTGTACTTCTTGTTCTCTATTCTTTCGCGCTTCATGGCCTTTGCATGTTTGCATTCGTCTCTTGGCATACCTGGCTGCAAGCTCTTTTTCGAGTATCGTCTATTGGACCCACTTTTCACCGCAACTCGCCACTATACGATCAAGGAGGTCTTGTGCCCCATCAACCACACACACTGATTGCACCTTCGCAAAGAAGAAAAGCTGCAAGCGAGAGGATGTAATCAGCAGCACGAAATTTGGCAAGTAGACGTCGACGTGGAATAATGGCATGCACAGTGCACACACAACAACAAAAGACCAATCGGGCCGGATTTATCATCTCATATCACCAATGCCGATAGCATCCAATTTCTTGTTTGGTGCCACAAGGAGGCAACACAACCCCCATGTCCCATCTGAAAGGTTCCCAACAGATGTGCCTGATGGAGGAGAAAAGAATATCAGACCATAAAACTCTCCTCATGCTTGGAAAACTAGCTAGCCCATCCTCTCAACCCTCCCCTACCGACATGACAACGGCAGGCAAGACACGCAAAAAGTGTCGAAAACAGACCACGCTCTCTTAACTTCCTCCACACACCAACACACCAGTAGTGTAACGTTCAGACCGCGCAGCAAAGACTACGCCCCTGGTCGGGTTCAGATCCAAATGCATGCCAGCTGGAGAAGATTTCTCGGAGCTGCGGCATATGTCTGGGTCCAGAGAGAGAGCACAATTCCCTGCTAGCATGTCAATCCCTGCCTGCAACAGGAAGTGCATCAAAGACTACGCCCCTGGTCGGGTGGGTCGGAATAGACTCCAATAGAGAATATACATAAGCATTTGTATAGTCATAATGGCAAATATAGCCACCTAATGGCATAATAAAAGAGGGTAGGACAGATGTAGGATAGGCCTACATTCACAAAAAATGGAGGCCTACCATTCGATTGAGCCCCTGGTTCCACACCAGAAATTTGATCGTTGACTGTAAGAGACGGCTTTGCAGGGGTACGGCACATGCCAAAGTTCACCGGAGACAGTGGGTTGTTGCGTTGACCCCATCTAAATCATTCCCTGAGACAGGAAGTACAGCGTTCCCGGGGCCAGAATGGACAGGAGATCGTAAACAAACATGCGAGTCCTACGGTCAAGCAGCCTAGCTCTGTTAGTTGAGCACATAAGCGGCATTCGGGAGATCGTGGGATCGACTTCCCCGCGCCGCCCGTTCGACTCCCTGCGGCCCCTGTGGCAGCTTACGGCTCACCAGCGGAGATAGTCGGCTTGCCAGCTTGGTCCTCCTGGCAGGCTGTGGAAATCCAAGGTATTTTCCAGCTCGCACAAGGTGTTAGAGAGGCCAGGGTACTGCTCCCTGCACTGAGCAGAGGTAGTTAGGATGGGCTCCTTGCCATAACCGTGGGGGGTTCCGGCCCGGGACCCGGCATGCATACGAAAAAATATACGGAACCTGTCCCCCGTCTGAGGAGAAGACAGCTTTCAAAAAATAAAATAAAAAAAATAGGCATGCCAGTCCTATCCCGCCACAGGAGGTCTGTTGTCGGCACCAACTAGAGACTGTGTGCGGTCGAATGCTTTGCCTAACCATAGGTTCAGCAGGGTGTGTGAAAGGTCTGCAGAGGCAGAGGATTGCATGGCAGCATCTGAATCCTTCTCTACCGCAGGATGTGAAGCAGAGCTTAGACCCTCGGCACGGTATGTAATCGGAACCGATTTGAACGTCATTCGCTCCAATGACCACTTTGAGTGACAATCGATCAGGTATGGGGTTCTGTTGACTGCTAGATGTATTAGTTCACTGAACTTTGTCCACACACATAGAGACTGGTCAGCTAAAAGTGAATACTCATTCATGGACTGAGTGAGTCAATGGAGTAAGATCAGGAACATAGTCGCACACATACCCAATTGTGAATCAAGAGTTCAATTCCATGGACATTGGACAGTGATGAATCTGCTGATTGTGCATGCCGTGTTGGTCGGCTTCTGACGACTCTCTTGGGCACCTGAAAACAAAAAAGCATGTCCTCTTCCCCGTCCCTGATCCCGGCCCTCGGCATAAGCTTATCAATCAACAAGGCAGTCGCTTCATAATATAACAACATTTTAATTTTTAATAATGTACAATAGGCGACCCAGCTGACGTCTGCTCGCTTGACTCCATCATTTCCCTTAGTTGCTCCAATGCCTTTAGGTGCACTCCCCATCCATCATCAAAGCGGCTGAGGCCATCCCACCACCAAAAACAACAACATAAAATAAAATGTGCATTGTCCGGGTAGGCTTGATCAGACAGCAAGCACGAGATGCATGCATTGCCATAGCCATGCCCATGCTCATGCTCGTCCCCAAAGAGGTCAAGACCATCCCACCACCGAAAACTACAATGATAAAATGTGCATTTTGTCACGCTAGGGTTGATCATAGTGCCAGCGAGACAGCAAGCACGAGATGCACGCATGGGACAGTAAAACTGCTGCTGCCTAATGGGAGACTACGGTCACAAATCATGTGGCAATGGGAAAGAAGAGAGCTCACCGCAGCCATCTGGCCAGTACATGCCTAGACTCTCGATAGTAGAAACTCTAACACAGATCTCAAACTCTCCTTCGGTCTCTTTGGATTGGATATACATAACAATTCCGTGTTAAGTGATTACCCATTCGGCTATGATGATTACAGCGTTAGCCTGATGACAGTGTACACCTGATCAAGGCTCCTCATGCTTTTTGTCTACTGATTCATATACTGGTTGCCGCACCCTCTGCTGCTCCTCTTGTGGAGATGATGAGAGGCCGCCGTTGGTGCTTGTCAAGATCGTTGGTCTGGTGATTGCCGGGGAAGCAGGAGGAGGAGAAGGAGGAGGGGGAGGAGGGGGAGGAGGAGGAGGAGAAGGAGGAGTTGGTGCTTCCGGGGGGCTCCGAACTGTCGTTTGTAAATATTAACCTGCTAACAATCTTAATATTGCTACTACTCCTAATGCTGTTCTTCTCAGCGACGCCGATCCCAGCATCTGAGAAAGCCTCCACTGACGAAGACATGCCACCTTGGGATACACTCCTCCGCGTCAATGGTGGTAGCATGCTTGTCGCACAGCGGAAAAGCGAATGCAGAAGACGACAGAAAATATGAGAAACCATAATCCACGCCATCCTAATGAGGCTGAAAATGAAGCATTGCATTATTGCTTTCCCGAAATGGTAACCTGCTGACATCAAAAACGTTGCTGCCACGGCAGCTACCCCACCACCATCCAATAGGTCGTCTTGGAACTGCCAAAAGTGGCGATCTGTCCAATGATGCAAAACACTAACAACAGGCGTCCACATGGTACGCAGGATGTCCCCCACCTCTTCTCTAAAGCGAGCAAAAGTTCCTTCACCATTTCCATCTTCGTCAACTACACCATTGCCATCGTCCTCAAGTTCTAATTTGCATGTCTGAAACGATTCTTTCAACGCTATGTCTACCTGCCGAAGATCGTGAGGGTTATAAGTACACGGATAGGTATTGTTCACGCGATACTTTTCTTTTGTATTCCAAGCATCGTAGAAATCAGGCCGGCAATGTAGAGGGAGAAGACTCCCAGGAGCATCCACCTCCACTCTCACTGGCATACATGAACGCTTAGGAATGAACTCTAGTTGAAATACACAAGTCCAGTAGTAATGAAAGTAGCAGGGCTGCTTGACGCGTACATAGCTCTTCCCAACGACTCGTTCAAGAACTCGACGACGAATGGAGGGAGTACCACCAGTGCATAATCTCACCCTCCTCAGCCCAACATCTCTTGAAAGGACACGGCAATCCGTCATCGGTAATGGCTGTCGATGATGCCGGTGATAAAGCTGCAAGCGGGGATGGACGATAACCGCAGAGAGATAGACGACAAAGCATGCCAACGCGCATACACATAGCAGTATCAGGAACCCAAGGCAACGAAGCAAGCACCTTTGCCGAGCAAATCTGAGAAAAACAGCAGCAGCATGAGGAGGAGGAGGAGGAGGAGGAGCAGGAGGAGAAGGAGAAAGCTCAATAGTTTTCTCCTCCTTACTTCTGCTTTGTTCGCTACCACAGCCAACGATCTTCTTATCATTCTCGTCGCCATCACCATCAGCAGCATCAGCAGCGGCAGCAGCAGGAGCAGAATCGTTGCTGGTACTCCTTTTGTTGTTCTTCGCACTTTTATTGCTGTCCTCACTGTTCTGCCCACCATGATCAGCACCTCGATCAGTGGGTGCAATGCCACACCCAACTGGGCCCAAAAGATTCACCATAGCCACAGCTATGGCAGCTATCAGTGCAATCATCAGAGCATCCATTTTTTTCCCTTTTCGATCTTGAAGTCACCACAGCCTTCGGACCGGCTTTCTGGCCAACGTGCAACACTGCCCCCTCCCTCCTTGCCTTTCGTGCCTGCAGCTCTCTCTCTCTCTCTCTCTCTCTCTCTCTCTCTCTCTCTCTCTCTCTCTCTCTCTCTCTCTCTCTCTCTCTCCCCCCCCCACACACACACACATACACACACACTAGATCTCTGCAGTACTGTTGTCCGAGATTGCCTCTGCTTCCCGTAGCTATTCCTTTCCGCACCCTTCCCCCTATCTCCTATTCTGATTCTCTTCACTAAGACACCACATCTTGTCACATCTGTTTCCCCGTTTTTCTGTGCCTCAAACTGGCCTTAACTCCCCTGCTCTCCCCCTCTCACAAACACAGACAAAAAAGAAACAAACAAAAAAAAAAAAAACGAAAACATTTCAGTCTAAATTATTTCACATGCACTCGTGCAACCACCAGCAGCCCCTCTATGTTCTCTTGGTTGCTCTGTGTGCACTTCTTTTCTCTTCTGCCTTCTTGTCCTTTTCCTCCTCCTCTGCTATGGCTTCTTCCAGCACATGCCAAGTCTCGAACTGTAGGCATGAATGCCACCTGGCGTCAGAAGACCTTTCTTGTAATTCCACAACCCGTTGCTTGACGTTCTTGGAAATCATGAGAATGCAATTACTCCTTGGCCATGACGATAGCCGAACCGCATGATGTGTTTGCAATTCACAGTTACGGTTGAATTACCATAGTATTGTATTCCAGGGCCACGGCAACACAGAACCGAGAGAAGGAAGAAGCACCCAGCCTGCTGGGTGTGGCCCTCAGGGATGTCCCATTGGGCCATCTAGCACTGGCGCACGTGTCAGTAGCACTCGTGATGGGACGCTGCAGAAAAAGGGACGTAAATAAGGCAAAAATATATACATAAGTTGAAACTTAACATTGTTTACAAAAATGAATTGTCTTTGACAATCAATCAGTGTAGAAGGTGCTGTAAACAAGGCCACACTCGCACTTCCCCAAAAGAGTCACAGTAAAAGAACAGTAGAAGGGCTTCACTCTGCCACTCACCCAAGGCAAGAAAGACAAGAAGATGGTGAGTGTAACTTTCCACCTTCTAACTGAGAGATGCACTCACCGTTTTATACATTTGGTGAGTAGTGCAGCAAGGGCCTTATTTGTCCAAGGAGAAAAACACAGGGCACAACAACGAGGGGGGCTGGAGGAGGGATGACAACAATGGCAAGGGGGAGCAGCGCAGATGAAAAAAGAGCGACGGGGGGGAAGTGCACCGGAACAATGACGATCATCAGGAAATGTCATCCGATAAGAAAGGAGACAAGACAACGGGAGAGAGGAGGTGGAGGAGGAGGAGGAGGTGAAGGAAGCAAACAACAGACTGTGGAAGAGGATGACTAGGGAAGGCGGCGGATAGCAATGAAGGTACTTCGGGCGTATGAAAGACTGGCAAAGAAAAACCCGCAGGGTGCAAAAATGAGGGTAACTGGAAGACGGTGGCGGGGGACGCAGAGTAGATAAACGAGGGGCAGGCACAGGTGTGCATGGGAACAGCAACCATCATCTGGGAATATAGCACGATAAGAAGTCAAGAGGACAAGGAAAGAAAGAGGTGGAGGGGCAGGCGGGGTAGGAAGTGAACAATGGAACGCGCACAAGAGGAGGATGAGGGAGGGACGAGGAGGGCGATGAAGACGGCAATGAAGGGACTTGCATAAGAAGGCAATTGAGGAGGACAGCAGGAGGAGATGTATGCATTTTCTTATTTTTCTGCATCAATGGAAGAAGACGATGAGGGAATGACAAGCAGGATGGAGTGAGAGAAAACAACCACAGAAAGAGCGGTGTACCCAGAGAGAGCAAGAGAGACAGAGCGAGAGAGAGAGAGGGGGAGAGAGAGAGTGGGAGAAAGAGAGAGAGAGAGAGAGAGAGAGAGACTCTATCTACTGCACTTCCTCTCAGGGTGTGTTCCTTCCCCTTGTCTCTACAGTGGGGTCACCATGGACTGTTATGTGGCCTGGTAACCCTTGTCCCCAATCACTTAGAGTAGAAACCAAGTCGTTGGGTGAGGGGAGGCGGTCTCGGGAGAAAGCCGGTGGTTAGGCCCGACCCGTCACACATGCTGTACACATGAGTCCTGGTGAGGACAGGCTATTCCCGTTTGCCAATAGCAGTTGCCCCACTGCACACACCCGGACAACAATGCATGACACACATCCACACATAAGCACAGTGCAGCGCAGCGGGTCTTCACTTGCTTACATCACAGTGTGCTTCCTCTTGTTAACGATAAACAAAAACGCCTCCATGCCCACATTCTAAGGCTGGACAACACACACACACGCACCACACAGCATAGCAGAGCAGAACAGTGCTCAGAACAATCTCTCTCTCTCTCTCTCTCTCTCTCTCTCTCTCTCTCTCTCTCTCTCTCTCTCTCTCTCTCTCTCTCTCTCTCTCTCNTCTCTCTCTCTCTCTCTCTCTCTCTCTCTCGCCATCATCATTGCCTCGAAGAGATTGGTAAAGTAGCCACCAGTAGCCTTCTGAACCCTGCCCCTCCAACACTCCCTACATTTCGGTATGCCCGAAAGGAAGCTTGTGCCCTCCTCCCCTCGAATGCCCAAATGGAGGGTCCCCAACTGCTCCATCCTCTCCCTACCCCTTTTATAAACCGCCCTACCCCAGCCTCCCTTTGGGCCTTCCGGTTGCCCCATTTCCCCTCGCAACAGACTTTCCAACACAGGAAATCAGCCACCGAACAACAAACCATCTCCCCAAGCCCTTCATCGAGCTGCTAAGCGCGTGTCGGCTGGTGGAGAGGTCGATACGAGAAGATTGTCAAAGCGGGTGGGGGAGTGACTTGCGACGGAAATTAGATAACAACTCTGGAATCCTTCCCCGGAATTCCTAGGCTCAGGATGGGGCTATATTTAGCACAAAGGCAGCAAGACCAGCAAGTATGGGGGTAATCGGGCAAGACAGGATTGATTATGCACTTCCAGGGGTAAACACCCCCACAAAGGTCATGTTTGGAAAAGTCAAGAGGCAGACCAGAACCGCTTATCGGCAGCTGGAGAAGGAGCAAGAACTGAACCAATTCGAAGCAGAACGAGTGGTTTAGCGGTGCACGGGGACAAGACCACCGACCACGGCGATCAGAAATGTTAGGCGCTTGTCCAACTATTAGGATAGTCCCCTCACTTCTGTCCCCGACGAATAAGGTCGACGCGGTTGGTTGCTTTAGCTCTCCTTGACACCTGGTTCTAACCTGGTGCATTAGTTAGGCATGGATCGCGGGGTTGCTTTAGCTCTGCTTTAGCTCTGCTTTAGCTCTGCTTTACTGCTTTAGCTCTGCTTTGGCTCGCTGGTTCCACGGGATTGCTATTGCATTAGTTAGGCATGGACCAAAGGGTGCGGAATGGTGAATAGCCGGTTGGGCCAAAGTGTTTGGTTCTTTGTGGATTAGTCCTGTGCTGAGGTTGTGACTGTCTCTACAGTAATAGTAGGCCCCAAGACCGAGTCCCACAAAGCAGCTGGGTGGAATAGTTTTTGCGCATCGATCATTAAACCACCAGTACACGGCCCCATCCTTGCTAAAAAAGAAACTTGTAGCCTACAAAAAATTTGGCGGCTTGGCCTACCAGACCACGATGGCTCGCGGTGCCAGCCAAAAAAGAAAAAAGATTTTGCATTTTCTTACTCCTCCGTATTCACATGCGTACCCCGGACAAGCACTGCCGTTTTCACCCGAATAGAACACCTGGTCATTACAGCTGTATTCGGGACAACTTTCAGTCCACATGCAGCGATAATGACAAGGCGGGCCTCCTATTCGGGTGAAGACGCTAGCCAGTCTGCCGAGCGTGCGGTTTGGGTAAACCTACCGTCTTCACCCGAACATAACGCCCGGGCGTTATATTCAACTTACCTTAGAAAGATGATATTTTTTGTTTTACTCACTTTTTTTCAAATAGAACGCCCCTTCGAATTCGAATAGAACGCCCGAGCGTTCTATTTGAATGTCCCATGGGCAGAGTGCCTTGAAGAGGGTTGAATGGGGTTTTGACTTCTAAGGGGGATATTTCGGCTTGATTTTTTGTGTTTATTTTTTATTCCAGAGTTTATAAGGAATTATGCAGTGACCTGCAGGCAAAAGTTGGTCGCATAGCAATCCTGGACAACATATTTTCGTCCCAGAATTTTTTGAGTTTTGTTTTTTTTTTCGGGAATCGTGGGGCCTCACTGAAGTTACCACAAATTTACTGATATATAACGCCGGGGCGTTATAAACAAATATAACGCCCGGCGGGCGTTATATTAGTACACGTCGCCCTGGCGATATTTTCGGGTGAAGACGGTAGGATCCGGGCAGAATCCCTTTCTTTTTCTTTGTTTGAAAAACTATACTATATTCTTCCCTCAAATTCTTTCAATTCATCTTTCACCACCTACCTTTCACTACTCCTAAGACTATATAGAGGGACCTTTGCAAGCATAGCTACCCCCCTCACAACGAAGGGATTGCAAGTTGCCCCCTACCCTGTCAGCGGTAGTCAGGGAGTAGGGTGGGGCTGCGAGTAGGTGGGCCCGGCTAACGCAAAGACCCAAGCATTTTGCCAGTAGACGCGCCTCCCATTGCATCTTCTTCCTCCACCGCCATCGAGTAACAGCAGTGTCTGAAAGGCCACCACTCTCCCACACATCACAAACAACCCTCTCACACTCACACTCACACTCGCCCTCACCCTCTCACACTCACCCTCACACTCACCCTCACACTCACACTCACAGCCCTGTTGGCTAAAGACCTTACTAATACTCCGACCGGGGGGGGGGGGGGATCAAGCTCACTATCTCTCCGCTAGTTGGCGCCAAGCCTGCACCAGGCGGCCATGGGGATTGAACCCACGACCTCCTCAATGCCACTTGTGTGGTAATCCTACTGAGCTAGGCCGCTTGATTCGGCAGAATTCCCGAACAACCTGAATACCCTGCCAAGACTAAGAAATATTGCAAAATCTTCTTCCTTTCCGGAGAGATTTTGCAGACCAGTTGGGGGGTCATATGTTTTCCCAATCTTAAGAGAATTCCCGCTAAGTAAGATAACAGATCCAGCGGTGGGTGCTTCTACATGAGCTTCGGGTTACCAACTATGAACTGGTACCATAGCATAGGTACTTCCACTGCAAAAGCTTAAAAAAGAGCAAGCAATCCATTGCCCACCCTCAGGCACTCAAGAGATTCCCGAAAGCTCTCCACTCCTCCTGAAGACGGAAAAAAGATCCGGCCAAATGCTGCAGCAGGTAGAAGTAATGAATCGGTAATCTGACGGTGGCTACACGGAATGCACGGAGGTCGGGGGATTGGGCCGTGAAGGCGATGAAAAAACGGAAACGGGAGAGTGAATACGAAAGGGAAGAGCCTGAAAGCCATAGGTTCCATACCCACCCAGCGCATGCATGGGTCTGACTCATAAATACACTCACGTAACACTTGATAGGCAGACTTAAGCTCCCAGCCCATGTGGCCAAATGGTACACCCATGTGGCCAAATGGTACACCCATGTGGCCAAATGGCACACCCATGTCGCTGATGTAACTGTTGACAAAAAACAGACCTGAGTTCGAATCCTGATGTTGCTAATCGTTGCGGGGATTGTGGAGGGAGGGAAGAAGAAAGGGAAGAGACTGAGACTGAAATAATACCATGACATTGTAGACTCGCTCGTACCCAGTGCATGTGGCTAATCGTTGTGGACTTGTACTCTCTCAAGTGAGTTGTGAGCCCACACCCATGTGGCTGAAAGGTACACTCCTCCTCCTATGATGTAACTGCCTCACAGAAAACAGACCTGCGGTCGGAGGAG